CACACACACACACACTTTGCTTCCTGCCAGAGAATGTCTTTGCTCTCTCTGTTGTGGTAACAGAAGGCGTATCTATGGCGACGGCCTGGCTGACTTATGAAATGACTGTTTGCTGAGACGTGTCAGGACCCGGTCAGCCCGAGCAGCCAATCAGACACCAGAACCAGAACACTCACTCTGCCTCCCTGTGCGCGGCCACAGCGGTCGGCTCCTCCACGTCCAGCTGAGGGTTGGTGTAGCCCAGAGTTCCTGAGTAGCTCACATCCTGCAGGAGGCAGCACAGGACACGCTCACAACCAGAACTGAGCCCACCTGGGACCAGAACCAACATGGCTGCCCCTCTTACCTTCAGGACTGAAGCAGCTGCTGTCTCCTTCACTGATCCTGGTTTCCTGGAGTCTCTGCTGTCCAGACGGTGGCGCTGTCGCACAATGTACTCATAGGTACTGAGTCTGTTCCACACTGGACACACACACATGCAGCAGGGAAACATCTCTGAGCAGCTGACAGCAGTCATGGTGCTGCTGTCTCCAAACAGGTGTGACTCAGGGAGGTGTGTACTAAAGTGTGGCTGCTGGACAGGTGTGTTGTGTCTTACTCAGGTAGATGTGGAAGCAGAGCAGGTGGCAGAGCAGCCCAGAGGACAGCAGAGACAGAGCGACGGTGACGGCAGCCAGGACGGGGATGACTGCTGCAGCCGATCGGAGCGGAGCCACAGGTAGGAAGACGAACCACACACCTGTCTCATTCCTCACTGTGGACACACACACACACACACACACACACACACACACACACCTGTCTCATTCCTCACAACACAGCAGCTGAACAGCGCCAGGCATGAACCGACTGACGGAACCATGGAGGAAGTAGAAGTACTACTCCCCCCACGGTAGAGCAGACGTTACCTGTGCAGGTGACAGTGAAACCACAGCAGCTGCATCATCATCAGTCACTCACAGGTCCGACCACTTCAAACTTCACTCACACTCTCAGAACAAGTCTGTCTGTAGCAGTCTGGAGCCCTGCTGCAGGACAAGCTGATCCTCTGCAGCTGGTCCAGGTGTATGGAACCAAGTCTTGGATTCCAGGGCCCTGCACTACGAAGCCGGACCAACAGACCAGGATATGTTTCAGGGGTCCCGCTTGACTAACCCTAACAGCCCACTCAGGGTAACCGGTCCTACGACGGTGGTCATCAACTCATTAAGTCGACCCAGGGTTGTCTGATCTGATCTGAGCGCGTGCACTTAAAATGGGCGGAGTTATGGGCCTCTGACCAATCAGGACTACGGCCCAGTCTGGCTGCAGAGCGGCTCACTTTACCGCCGAGGAGCAGAACATCATCTGGACCAGATATGAAGAACATAAAACCATGATAGGAGCAGAAAGAGAGCAGAGCAGGAAGGAATGGTGGCAGGAAGCTGCTGCCTGTGTGGACGATCAGCTCATTAGTTTATCATAAAACCTGATCACTGCTCATCATGAAGGCTCGTATCAGACAAGCAGCACATCTCAGGACTCCTTTAGCTCCTGTGCTGCCTGATGGACAGACTCGTGGTCTATCTGACATGTTCTACCTCCAGCTGCAGCCCTGGAGGTGTAGAAAGGACGTGGGAGCAGATGGAGAACCAACAGAACCATGATCCAAAGCGGTGCAGCTCATTAACGTGTCCTACAGATACGAGCTTTAATGCTGAAGTCAGTTTGCTGCTGTGGCTGATGTTGATGGAAATAAATATGAAGCAGCTTTGACACTGTCTGTAGCCAGCAGGAGACACATGAACTAAGGCAGACAGGAGCTCATAGAGATCCTGGTCAGGGGGCACTAAGGGGTTCTGCTGGTCCTGAAAACCCCTCACAGTCCTCAGTGGTCCCTCACAGTCCAGCTCCGATGTGTAGCGGCTCTTCTATAGATGCTGATGAAGCCATGTTGGTGAGAGCTGCTTCGTTTTCTGTCCTTCTGAAGGTTTACGGCAGAGAACTGGTTTCCAGTGGAGGTGTTTTATACCACTGGTCTCAACCTCCAGCAGAACCTGCTAGGTTACCATGGTGATGGACCCGGTAAGAAGAGAACCACCGTCGTAGGACTGAAGACCCAGGATTTACCCTGAAGCTACCTGCTTCGTAGTACGGGACCCAGGTGTTGGATTCCAGGTGTTTCTTACCCAGGAAGTGCTTGTCAGTGCGCAGTTTGGACGGGTCCATGAAAAACTCAATGAAGACGTAGGAGGAGACGACCAGAACCAGACAGACGCCGAGCAGAGCCGAGACCACACTGTGGAGGAACAACCTGAGAACACAGGGCACAGAATACTGCATAAAGTAATACACACAATACTGTATACAGTACTGTATATAGTACTGTAAATAGTGCAGCTGAGCACTGACTGATACATTATCTCTGACTGGGGTTCAGGTTCTATTGATCCAGCTAACACAGAGTAATCCTGGCTTTGTTAAACCTGACTCAGGTGTGTTGTCATACTGACTTTGTACATGTCAGCCAGTATTACACTCACTTGTAGTTCCTGCTGCCCACGCAGTTGTTGAGCCAGCGGCAGTGATGGTCGAAGTTGGCCACACATTTGTTACAGGCGCTGCAGTGCTTCGACTTCGGTCCTCTGAAACAGCCAATCACCGATCAATAACTGACATCACCCGTACCTTCATCCAATCATAACCTCACAGTTATAAACAAGCGCTTCAGGAAATAAAGGCTGAACGCTGAACTTTGTGAAGACGTATTAATGTTTGTTGTTTGTGCTCAGCGGAACCCAGAACAGCTGTGGCCACTGATGCTGGTCTCAACTACACCTCCCAGGGTGCATTTCAGCATCAATCAGCCAATCACAGGGCTTCGCATTCTGCTGCTTCTGTGTTCAGGAGAAGCAGGAACTTTCACATGTTCAACACCGAATGAAACACTCAGAGCGTTTCATTATCTGTCAGAGAACAGGAATACAGCTGCAGATGAAGGCTCCATCAGGACGACCGGGAGCCTGACCTCAGCCTCTTCTGACTCCTCACAGCCTCCATTTGGTGCTGCCTGCTGCTGAAACCATTGTTCCCTAAACACCTCACAGTCACCAGGTAATACTGTATTTTCCAGATGTTCCCTAAACGCCTCACAGTCACCAGTAGGTTCACCTTCACAGCAGCAGAAGATGCTCCATGAGGTACAGACATCCCTGAAGGAAACTAAACTAAACAGAGCCTCTCTGGAGCTCTGAACTGTCTTCTGGTTTGCAGTGATGGACATCAGAGACGATCATCTCCTCCCTGAATCTGACTGGATGAGTTCAGACTCAGTGCTGAAGGTCTCTGAGTCCTGCTCCTCCTTCATGACTCTTCATGTTGAGTCAGTCAGACAGAAATCAGGAACTGTTGAACTTTCTCAGATTTAGCTATTTGGTACACAAAACTATGTTCTGATAAATGTTTTGGCTGAATTTGGAGAAGCCATGAAATGTGGTGACTCAGAATGACTGATGGGATCCAGCAGGACACAGTTTAGTTATTGGGGCGCAGAAAGTTCCTGTCAGTGTCTATCCATGGATGGATCCATGTTTCTACTGAAACCAACTGCTGAGGCTCTAACATCAGTAGAACCTGGTGTGGTGAAGTTGGACCAGAGAAAGTTCTGCTTTTACATGTTTAGACTAAATGTGGATCATTGGTAGGAACCACATCTGTACATGTGTGTGTCTGCAGAGACAGGTTGTCGTCCGGAGACGTCCTGCAGCGGCCTTTAGTGAGGAATCGGCCGTTCAGGTGAACACACCTGGATGTTCTCTGCAATCGGTTATCTGGGATGCATCAATCAAACATCACAACATCTGGCCAAGTACGAGCCGTGTGGTTACAGGAAGAAGAAGAATGACTCACACGTCCACCTGGCACAGGTAGCAGTGGCAGTTCTCGATGACGTGAGCGTGCTTGGAGCGGTCGAACACGGGAACCGGGCCGCGCTCGCTCTTGGTTCTGACGTTGTGGTCGGCCGGGTCGACGGACACGGCCATGACATGGACACACAGGTGACAGACGAACATGACGCCGGTACACTGGCGCTCAGCTCAGGACTAACCACAAACATCTGATCAATAACCGATCGATGACATGGACCAGCTGAGCCATGGTTCTGAGCTTTCTAACACTAAAGAGGAGACTCACAGCACCATGTCTGGAGCATCTCCAGGAGATAAGCAGTTGTTAGCTGATAGTGTCTGAGTCTTTAACCCTCTGAACCCTGAAACCTGCATGTTGGAAAAATATCAGATGTTACTTTTTAAAAAATCACCAAAATGACACAATTGATCCTTTAGAAACTAAAAGCAGAAACAATTGTCACCTTGTCACTGTAAGATCTCATTTTTCTGCATGTCTCAGTTAAAAATTCTACAAAACTTCACCAGTTGTGGTAAACACATTCTGTCCAAACATCTGAGCTCCTGGACGTAACCGTGAGGTCACGACTCACTCAGCTGGGACAGGTGAGAGGAGATGACGACAGAAACCAGGTGAAACAGTCAAACAGCGTACATTCTGTAGAATAAATAACCAAAGACACTCCTCTCTGCTCTCCATCGCTCTAACTCTGCTGACACAAGACATCTCTTGGGTTCTCTCTCCTCCTTCATGTGGTTCTGGTTCCACAGAGCTGCAGGACTTTACACTAAAACATGAACCACAGTGAGTTAAGACGAGCCAGAACCTGCTGCTGTGGGTCCAGAGGGTGAATACTGAAGAAGAAAAGCCAGACTACAGTAACGGTGACCTGCTCACACCTGGGTTCTACCTGCTACTATAGTGGCTCTACTTTGGGGTCGGCGGAAGGATACGATGTAGCCTGCAGGGATCCAGTGCGGCGGCAGCAGCGGCACGAACACGCCGAAGCCGGTGACGGCAAAGTAGACGTAGAGCAGCCAGGCGAGCAGCTGGAAGGGGTGAGGAGGCCACGACCAGCCGTTAGTCCGCGAGCACAGCGGCACGTCGGCCCGCCGCGACCCGTCGGCCCGCCAGTCCTCGCCCACCGGCGCCGTGCGGTTCGGATTCCTACTGCACACGTCCATCCTGAACAGGAACGAGAACCAGAACCTGCTCAGCTCTCAGCACAAAATAATCCTGACCAACAACCAAGAACAGACACACATCTGCAACATCACACCCACAGACCACAGCATCACACCTACAGACCACAACATCACACATACAGACCACAGCATCACACCCACAGACCACAGCATCACAC